ATAAACCTATAGGCTTATAAATAGGCTATATAATGTACAGATAAAGATAATATATACATATAAATAATATACATGTAAAAATATAAAAATAAAAATAAAAATAAAAATAATAATAAAGAGGTGTAGAAAGCACATATCAGCTATCGATATAGAACGGAATAAAGAGATGGTGAGAATCAATTGTATGGGAAGTTGTAATCACTGAGAAAGTCTATATCTCTATTAAGGCCTATGGTGTGGGTTTTGTGTTTAAGTATGAGTTTGAGTTCGGAAATGCGCCGATCGTTAAGAGATTTAAAGTTGTTGGCTATGAGTGTGCATCTCAAATCACTAATGTTATGGTTAGGAGAATTGAAATGTGTGGCTATGGGAAGGTTCTTATGGGTGCGGATAGATGACTTGTGATTGTAAATCTACTTCTAAAAGATACTATATATATACATACTACATACATACATACACACACACATACACCCATACATACATACATACATACATACATATAGCTAAAGCGTTCAGCTACCCCTCTGAACCCCATCTTATCGGACGGAGACACCTCCTCCCAAACCTAGCCTCCGCAGGTACTTGGAGGCACTTTCCACATATACCTATAGCCCCCACCCTAACCAAAATTTCTGGATCCGCCCCTGAGAGGCTGCATTTTTATCTATTTTTAGCGACTTCGTTGGCTTTAAATTGCCATTTCGGCTGTTCCCCACCCCCCGGTGAACGGAAAGCTAAATATACATAGATTCATCTCATATAAAATATATGAATTCCCATTGGATGAAAAAAATCACCATCAAAACACTAATTTCAATATGAATGAACAATCTTGTCTAGGCATCATGCCCGAGAAAATGCGAAGCTTTGGTATAGCCTTCCGCCATTGTCAAGGGTCTCGAGGCCCTGGCCCTTAATCTTTTAGGCCTGCCTTTAAAAAAATGGTTCGTATGGGAATCAAACCCACGACTTCCAGGTTTGCTATCCATGATCCACCATCAACTAAACTGTCTTTCAAAAAAAATGGTTCGTGTGGGAATCGAACCCACGCCCCCCGGGTATGCTACCCCTAATCCACCATCAACTAAACGGACAGAGGAAGCACCGCGACCCCTAAGTTATAAATGCAATGAACCTTGTACCATACCAAGTACCAGTCAGTCAACTCTAAGACTACCGGACAACATGATTCGAATATATAGAGTTGTGGGTCAATACTACGCATGGACATGGTGTCAAAACTAATGGGCCGTGGGCCAAGATGGTTTATTTTTTTGTCTAAAAATGTAGACTTAAATTTATTATCGATGTTTTTATTGTTCCCATCTCCAACTTACGCACTTTTTTTAAATAGACAAAAATGATGGAAAAATGAATTATGCAAATTAGAAAAAATGACGTCATATTTACAAAATAGACCAATCATGTTACGCGATTGAAAGTATTGTACTCGTTGATGACGTCGCAAATTGCGAAATAACAACAAACAACAACCTTTCATGTCGCCGTCATGGAAGCTCACCGGCAGTGCCTGGCAATGGAAAGTTTTAAATACTGAGGAATTTGCGAAGTTCTTTATGGCTTGCTTAACCGTTTTTCTTCGTTTCCAACGATCTAGGCCTAGCCTAGGGAGGGCCTAGGCCTAACTGCTGTAGGTCTACCCCCTGTTGCCGCTGGGCAAGGCTCCCTCGGATTGGATTGGACAGTAAAGTATGCCTAGGCGTTAGTTGTAGTACTGATAGGATTAGTGACATCTATAACGCTGGCTACCATCGCCAGTGCTACGCACGATTTACCGACAAATTCAAATTAGAACAAGCAAGAAAAAAACATCAATTTAAAAAGAAACCCAGTCAGGCATTTGTGGAGCTTAGGCTACTTAGGTTAGAGCAGGGGTCTATGCATACAACTCAGGCCCTGGCCCTTAATTTTTTAGGCCTGCCTATACTTGTCATTGTAGGTTAGCTAGGGCCAAGCCCTACTTACTTAATATTTAGGCATGAATGAATGGCATTAATTTTATAGTAGCCTATGAACTAATGTAATTAAGCACATTTGTAATAAAAATTAAAATAATATTATTATATTATTATTATTATTATTAAAATAATATTAATTAATTATTATTATTATATTATGGTTATTGAAGTATTTTGTGTAAGCCATTTCGGCCCTTAATTGAATAATAATAATATAACGTACGATGTAAAATGTACTCACTATAAAATTTTCATTAAGATATCCGGGACACCAATGAAATATTTATAGCGAGTACATTTTACATCGTACGTTATATTAATATTCAATTAACAGCAATGGCTTACACAAAATACTTCAATAACCATAATACGTCAGTAAGTCGTGTATGACCTTAACAGCAGTGAACAGGTAGATGCAAGCAACAGATGCAACATATTAAATCGAATATTATTATTGTTTTATTTTTATTAATTATATATAAATTCATTATTATTACTTTTTATTGTTAAATTATTGCTATTAAAATATTATTATTGCCATTATTATTGTGCATATTGATAGGTATAGGCTGGCGTTACTACAATAACTCAATTTACTAGAACAATTCTTATACAGTATTTGTTTACATACATTTTTTAAACTTTGACTGATACAGACAGATAATCATTAAATAAAAGTAATTAAATAATGCCAACATTTCTTTCGTATATGTAATTGCATATACATGATAAGCCTACATAGAAATACTGTACTGTATACGCAATAACAAATACAAAACACAAACACTGAAGAGATGCATGACCAATGTGAATTGTACCACCTCTTTTCATCATTATTACTTAGTCAAAATTAAAAAGAATAATAAAAATAAAATAATAATAATAATAAAAATAGTGGTAATAGACGTAATTTTAGTATGAAAAAAAAGGTATCTGTGCTTAACAAATATTATACTATACAATAACAATAATATAATACATATAATCATAGTTACCAACCGTCTCTCATCGTGCGGGGCGGTCCTGCATTTCAAAGTGATTTTGGATGAAACACGCATTTTGCAGAAACACATGCGTGATCCTAAATTTGTCACGCATTTAACGAAAGTCTATGCGTAATAACGATTTATCACAAATTCAGGGGAAAATATATTTAAAATTTGAAGAAATTGGTTGTACTAAAACTATAAAAGGTGATGCAGTAACTTGAGTCATTAGAGAGTACAGTATTTCCTTGAAGGCCCTACTTATTTCACTAACGAGTTACTAAAAATTGATCAGTAATGAAATGTTTGTGAAGGTCTACATAGTTCGAGTGTTCAAACTAAACATAGGCCTACATTGAAACTCAAATTGGCTTTATTAATAATATTAGTATTATCAACAAAAACTCCCTGAAATCGTTTTAAAACAGCTTAAAATGCTCAGATCGTCGGAGCGTTGGGGGGGGGGGGGGTTCCACTGCCGATTGGACCCCCTTCCCAAGCCAACTGGTATAGTCGCTCACGCATTTCAAATCTCTCAGGTTGGTAACTATGAATAAACAATAAACAAACTACCGGGTTTCTAGGTTAATTTGCAAGGTACTACATGGCTCAACTATTTTTTTACTTAGGGGCTAATTGGTAAAAATTGCACACAAATCATACGACGTCACTGAAAACGCCGGGGTCGGAGATTAATTTTCCGAATAAAGTTATATTAAATAACTTCTAATGACGAACTATTGTCTTCAGTTGTCTTTGTTGGTCATCCACCTGTCATTTTAACTATTTTTTCGGTGATATTACCATTCTCAATAATCTGTAAAACACCCACATAACAAAGTCACTTTAGATCGATCGGTGGGGACGCCGTGGGGACGCCGTGGTGACGCCGGTAGGGTTAATTTTTGTGGGACGGTATCAAAATGATAAACAGTTTCATTGGACTAAATTCTTGCATATGTTAACCATACTTTCCCAAGATTATACTGACACTGGTTTCAAATAAAATAACTGACAAGTTTGGTTTGTATCAATGTTTTAATAAGTACATAAAACTATGTCACAAATACGTATGCAAAAATGCACAGGGACAACACGCTGTTTTTATATTTTTCTTGAAATCTGTATGCCTGATCACCATCATCATACACACTATAATAGATGCGAGTAAGATGTTTCAAATGATATAATGATAATAATATGTTTATAATGATATATATGATATATATATATATATATATATATATATATATACGCATATATATATACATATATATATACACGTAACCATCAAAGAAAGGTAAATACAGTGTTAGAATAAGGACATAATAATACATCATAGCTCTCAACCAATGCAGTCCTGTATTAAATGAATAAAGAAATTGTGTAATAAAATGCATCTGGCGGGACTCGAACCTGCGACCTCTCGCTGTCAAGGCCAGCGTCATAACCATTAGACCACGGAGGCTTCATGGTTGAACAGATTCAAATACCACCAGATACACTC